ATATAGAGAAAAAATTAGCCGGGCATGGTGGCGAATGCCTGTAGTCCCAGCTACTCGGGAGGCTGAGGCAGGAGGATCGCTTGAGCCCAGGAGTTTGAGGTTGCTGTGAGCTAGGCTGACACCATGGCACTCACTCTAGCCTGGGCAACAAAGCGAGACTCTGTCTCAAAAAAACAAAACCAGAAACCATCTTTTCCTTAAAGCATTTAGTAATATTTCAGATCCCAGCCAGGGCACACCAGGAATGCTTTCCCGAGGGCGTGCACGGGACCTGGGAGGGCAGGTTGTCCCCACTCCCCCAACCCTGTCCTGGCTCTTGGCAGGAGGTAGCAAGCCCAGTGTTTCCCAGACAGATCTGTGTTTTAGAAGATGCCAGAGAAGATGCCTTTAACTCCCCCCATAGAAGCCCACTTCGATGGTTATATCCCACAGCAGCCCTCAAACTAGAGCATTCCCTCTTGTTTGTACGTATTTGCACACTAAAGAGCTAGAGAAATAGAAGCAAATTCTTAGAAGACTTTGAGGTCTTCCTAGTGTCCCTCTCTGCCTCTCACTTCCATGTAAAACAATGACTGAAGTCCTTCAAAAACTCTCTTTCCAGCACCCTCTCCTTGTCCCAGGCAGCATTTACCAGCACTGGGCCACACCCAGCCTTCACCTCTCCCAGCACTGGCATCTCCTGGCTAAGGCCTCAGCCCTCAGGTGTAAGAATTCCGGCACGTAAATGTATTCTAAAACGGAAAGGTTCCTAAAACAGCTTAGATTTTTAAGGGGATGATATCACAGTCCAAGAAAATTTCCATTCAATCAAGGTGGTTTTGCTTACCACAAATGCAAATTGTTCTCTTAACACACCTTATGCTTAGCATCTGGGTAGAGGTGACTGCACGACTCCCCCATCTGTGGCGAAGTCTGCTCCCGAAGGAGGCGCGTGTGCCAACTGGCAACCCATGGGGATTTGTAACAATTTCATGAACAACCTGGAAATTGGTTTGTGGAAGAAGCACCAGGCAGAAGCCAAAAATAGAGGTGGCATCGTCACGAAGTCAGCATTCAAGCCCACTGCACACACTCCCTGAATGTGTCACGTCACCCAAGAAAACATTCCAGTTAAAAAATGGTACTGTTCCTCCAAATAACGGGGGGCTAGCAGCGCGTCCACTGGGGGTATTTTGCAAATTGCTTACAGGTTTGAAGGAAAGGGGAGTCAATCAATGATTAAGACTAGTCCCTCTGTTCCTAACTCTTAACAGGATAATGCAGATTAATTCAAACCTTCCCCAAACCTGACAAAGCCCCCACAGTGCCTTGAATGTGATAGAAATTTGGAAATTCTCCTAAGAATCAGGGTGTCTGTACCCAAGGCTCTCACATGATCATGTTACTTAAATAATACACCAATCTGTGATCCCCGAAGAATGAAATTGTTCTTTCCTTTTTCTTTGGAGGGAGCGCGATGTTTGAGGGTGGGGGTGAAGTAAAGTGCGTTTGCCTGTCGGCAGGCTCAAGAGCTGAGAAACATTAGCTGTCATGAACCACAATCAAATCAGGTTTGAAATATTTAGCAGTGGCTTGGAAAATGCGGCGGTGCAGCTCTGACAGGCGAGATGTGCACAGACACCCACTTTCCATTATAATGGAAATATCAGGCCTGTTCTGAATATGTATAACCCAGAAAAATGTATTGATTTTTCATTCGGCATTAAAAAAAATGAAATAGCCTGCAGCTGTCAAAAGCCTTTTGTTAAAAGCTCATCTTTCCTGGAATGAGGTTTACCAGAAACAAATTTTAATTGTATATAGGACCTCTTCTTTGAAAAACAAAATAACCAATCTGCTTACTTTGAAGATGGGGGTAAAGCTTTTCCTTTCTCCATTTTCAACCTAATTAACCCACGGACGACCACCACCAAAGCAAGCAGGAAAGGCCCCGGCAGACCCTGACCAGCAGGAGTGACATGGAGGGTGGCAGCTACAAGTGGCGTTGGCTGGTGTCTCTGTGGTGGGTGGCAGAAAGAACTGATTGTGTCACATCGTCTTATTTCTCTAACCACTGTGTAGGTGCCAGGTTCTGAGACTTGTATATGCCCTGGCCAGTCCGTTGTCCTCTTTAAGCCTTGGCTGGCACAACTGGAAAACAAGGGCAGAACACTTTCTAGCATGCCCAATCCTCTTGGCATCTTGGTATCAATGGGAAACCTCTGCTGGCTGCAAATACTCTACAGAATATGTATGCTTTATTTGGCAAATACAGGTCGAATCAAATCCCATGATATGAAAAAGATGCCTACCAAGGCCTAGACCACTTATTTCAAATAAAAACCAGGGCATTAAAATTCTGCTACCATAGACATTTGTAACAGGATGCAATCTACAGTGCTGATGGACAGACAACCATGTAGTTCCTGGCTTGTTACTTCTAGTTCTGTCTTCTCTCTCTAAGCCAAGAAGAAAAGGGTAGTGGTGGTGACATTTATGGCTGCACCCACAGGAGTGGGCCACTAGCTATGTCATTCTCCTTCTGTGACATTTTGGCAAATGGAATTTCAATGAATAATGACCAGAGGTCCAACTAGTAGGTGACTTTACATATACTCTGGGCTATATCCTTACTGTACAGTGACATTCAGATATACCAAACATAATTATGACACCCAAACATAATAAGCTACTCTGCAACATTCCCAAGCACATCTTCTCAAATGTTTACTCGCTGGTTTTATTGCATCTAGTAGATTTTCAAATCTACACGGAAGTCCTGCGTGGATAATCGTCTGAGTATTTTTTTAAATTGCTGACCAACTTTGCCCATTCCATTTTCTACGTCTTAACAGGCTATAGATCTGTCAGGGAAATTGCCAAATCACAAGGGGATCCAAATCAACACTGATGAGTAGGACTTCTTGAGCTACACCTGTAGTACATAGCCCAGGCAGGAAACCTTAAAGGGCTGAAGGGTATGTGCAGATATGGGGGGAGGAGGGGAGGCGTAGGAGGAGCGGGCAGGGAGGAGCAGCCAGGGGCTCTGCAGCTGGAGCATCTGTTCATTCATCAGAAGTGCACAATTTTCCTTGTGATAAGATGTCTTTTCCAATGGACTTAGAACTCCAGTGCACTAATAAAGTCCAAGGTGTTCAGTGAAAAGTACTTTCTCCACGTGGATGATCAGCAAACTGGCCTGGGCCTCTCTACAATCTGCCTCTGCAGTAGGACCCCTTGCACCCCTGCACTGGGGCAGAGTGTGGGAAAGCCAGGAGGTCTCTCCCTAAAGGGGCGTCATTGCCTTGACCATTTGTCATTTTATCACCCTTTTAAGCTCTGTGCCAGACTTGCCAAAGACCCTTCACTACCAACCGGTGTGAATGGGCAGGGAGCCGCCTCGTACTCCTACAAGTAATTTTCCCACCCTGGTGGCTTAAAAAAAAAAAAAGGCCAAACTGCTAATTTTCCCACCATAGTAGCAAAAAAAAAAAAAAAAAAAAAGTGGCCAAACTGCTGGTTTGTTTTAAACAAAACTGTCTTCTCCAAGATGACATTTACACAAACTCTCCAAAAGTTACTTTCGCTCCAGTGAGGAACTCTTTCTCACGTGGCTCCTTGAAGTAATCGTTTTACCACAAGAATTCTTTTTACCAGTAGGTGCTCATTTACCAAATACACCTGGGGCCGCAGCGCCTGGCGTTTCTGGCCAAGCTGGAAAGGTGGAGGAGGGCTGCAGGGCCCCACCCTGGCCTTCTTTACTGCCCCCCACGCTACCAACCCTGCCTTCTGGCATCGGGCAGTAGGAATCAACATTCTGAAGGCAACTATGGGTATTATTAAAAATGACTAATTGGAGAACAGAGACCATTTATGCTTTTGTATATTTGAAGATCTTACCACTGTTTACAGAAACGAGAAAAATGGGGATTGTGTGTCGAGAGGCAGCCTTGGAAGAGAGGGCCGGGCTGCAGCCTGCGAGTTCGGTCCCTGCTGGGCGCGGTCCAGCTCCGCCAGAGAGCAAGCCCGGGGCAGCCTCCGCATCTGCCCTTTTACTTAACGTCACCTCTAACTGGAGCACGGACAGGAGAGCATGTTATGGGTCCACAGTGGCCGCAGCTATTAAGGCCTCCCAGAGAAAAAGCCCCCTCTCTGAGCTGTCCCTCCTGCGGGAACAGCACAGAACACCAGAGCAAGAAGTGAAAAACGCTGCCGTTGTGTGGCGAGGGACGGGTCCTGCCACGTTTCCTCTCCCAGGCAAGGCCACTTGGTCATCTGAACAGTTTGTGAAAACCACACTGGAATTGCGGGGGTGGGTGGGGGTCAAGAGAGGAGGAAAAGGGAGGAAACACCTAGAGCCGGAATTGCAACAAGTTCCATTTATCTGTGTTCTTAGCAAAAGCACCTGGGTTGCCCCCTGCAGAAATGCAGAAAGGATAAAAGTGAATGTGCAGCAACAAAGCACAACGGAACTAAATATGTCGCTGACTCGCCTGGTGGCTATTCAGGCAAAGATTTTTTTTTTAAACTGAAAGGTGTGAGTTCCAGTTTGTAAAATACAAACCCAACCCTGAAAGGGTCTCGGAATACACGCTAAATAAGAAACCCAGCTAGGTCCCAGAACTCTGAAGTAAACTGAATTCAGCAGGGATTAGTTCCCTTGGATTTCTACACAGCCATGATTGTTGCTGTTACTTTCACACATGAAATGTGAAAAAGGCAAATTCCCCGAGCATGTTCGTAGCGGAGCGTGATGTGATTGTGTTGTCATTTATGGGAAATAATCGCAGGCCCATCTCTCCCTTTTCCCCCCCATTTTCCAGTCCAAATAACCATGAAAAATTACACTTCAATGTCAGGGCGACGACAAAGGAGACGCGCTCTCTGGGAGCTCAGCGGATTTGCAGGGGTTTTTCCTTTCTTTGGACAAAAACTACCTTCAATTGTACTTCATTTAAAATGTGATCTAACAAATGCATTTTGACAAGTTCCTTTCTCTTCTTCTCCTTTCTTTCAAACAGTATTTTGCACAGTTTAACCTCACACCAAACTGGAATGTTCTGGAAGAAAGGCATGCAAAAGAGAAGGTCCTTGGTACCAAGAAGGGTGTCTCCCCACTTCTGTGGAAAACAAAGTAGTCAAGAAAAGTAATGATTCTAACTCGGTATGCCACTGAGGAAGAGAGGACGACGGGAGAGAGGAAATGGTAATGTCTTCAAGACAGAAGACAGGTAAAGGCAAAAAGAGCCGGTGCTAGTAGAAGGAAGAGGGTCTTGGAGGAGGAAGAAGGGGCTTCATCAGAATAAACCATTTTGTAGATTTGGAAACAGCATCTAGGGAGTCTGGCTGTATGATCAGAATTGGGAGGCCATGACCACATACCTGGGGTGGGGGTTGGGGTGGAGGTGAAGAAAGGACACCTCTCTGATCGAGTATCTGTTCCCGCCTGTCCCCTTTCTCTGTGGAAGTGGACATTTTGCAACAGAACAGATCTGCCTGAAAGCTTTTTAACATTCCAGGTGTGAGGCCTGAGCAGTCCCTACAAGCATCTGTCTTTCAATAACACCCTGCTTGAAATAAACACTGCCAGGCTTCCACGGTCGGAGGGGAGAAGACAAGACAGATAAACACATATGAGTGATAGCAAGAGAGTAAATTAAAAAAAAAAAAATTTAGCAGTTTCCATTAAAGAGGACTGGTATCTCCTTCTGAGTTGAAACTGACTTGGCTTGTCAGAGAGAGATCTTATGCTTAATGCAAAAACAAAAATTCTATGGTGTGCTTCCTCATTTATTTATTTTTTAAATTGGAAAATGTTGGAACTACATGGATGAAAAAACAGTCAGAGAAGGCCCATAAGTGTACTTAAGCCTCCATATACAAATGAAGGTGTATGGGAAATGAACAGGATGTACCAGAAGTGATATTAAATGATGGTGATTAGAACCTAATGGGTATAAGTGAAACCTTGCGGGATGGCTCTTCGTAACGGGGGCGTCAGCGGTGATGGATGCAATCTATGCGGGGATGACAGCAAGGGAAGCAGAGGTGGAGGGTGGCCGTGCAGAACCAAGGCTGGGGAGACACAATTTGACAACGCCAAAGGGGACGACGGAATATCTAAAGATAAGCAAAACAGCAAATTGAAAGAGAAAGAGGTAAACAGTTTGTTTCTGACCACTGAAACAAACCGCACACAACTGAGAAAAATAAAGCTGTGATTCCAGAGGTCTGAGTCACATAAGGGTACAAATGAGGGACCTGAATTTTCAGCCTGTTTGTTGCCTCAATTTTAAGCCCACAGTGTCTGAAACATCTCTAACCTATTTGTGAAACAGCTTTACCTCTGAGAGGCACGGAATTCAGGCAGAAATATTAGTTTACTCCCACCAGCGGACAGCAGAACGAGGGACTGTCAAGGAGCTTCGTTTTGCATGATCATAAGCCACTTATATGCACAGCTGGTAAAACAAGCTGATTCATAAAAACAAAGCACAAACAAAGGCTTACACTTTCCAAACCAAATCTGGGGAACAGAAATCAGGCCAACTTCAGGCGATGCTGCACCCAGGAAAACACCAGCTAAAGCTGCTCTCCCTTGGCCAGACCCAAGAGTACACAAAGGTCACTGCATATTTACCGGTTGCATGTTTAAGAATGCAACGCCAGAAACACGTACAAATCCTGGAGGTGGCTGAGAGCGGACTCTTACATGTCCAAGCATCCTGGGGAGTCCTCAGGTGCCTACTACGAGTTGCCTGGTGCCAGCGGAGAAAAGCCAGACTCCGCCAGGAGCATTTGGTCACACCCGAGACCTTTCAGGATGCATCTACACATGGCAAGTCAAAAACTGGGCCACTTTCCAAAACCATCAAGTCCCCAAACACGCTTCAGCCTGGAACAAACAGGCAGCAGAGGCAGCATGTTTCAGTTGACATTTCCTAGGAAATTGCAAAGAAAGTGAAGCAGGAAGCTGAGGTACGGAGAAAATCCAAAGGTTTATGTTCAAAAGCTTTCCTGCATTCATGGAGGGAAAAGCAGATGGAATTGTTAAACTGTTGTCATTTTTAATAGGCACCTTATATGGCTCTTCTGTGCCCAAAGGGAGAGAGAAAATTCTTGGATCCTCTCCGTCTTTTTCAGAGACTTCGAAAGTAATGCCAGCAGTTGAATCCAAAGCCTCTATATATTTTTAAGTTTGGATCCTGTACAATGAAACGGTCTTTTTCTAGGGTTTAACAAAATGCCACCCCCACATCCCTTTCACAATGGTTTTAGCTACAAGAGCCCCTTCTCAAATCCCCCAGAGCAACCAACTGCACTGCCGACTCAGTTTTAGGATTCCATGTGCATCTATATAGCTGTTCCTCCTGTAAGGTGTTTCTTAGACCTAAAAACAGGTGGTAACCCCTGAAAAGCAACACATTGCAGCATTACGCAGTCCCAAATTTATACAGCAATATGTTTCATGACACAAAAGCACACAGTAATGACCATCAAGGCAAACAATTCGATAAAAGTCATTTAAATTCCAGACTCATGCCCATACTCTTTCACAGTGGCAACATTTGAAAATAACAGATATGTGAAACAAAAGAAAGAAAATGTTGTCTTAAGATGCCAAAGTCATCAAGGATCTGGGCAGACAGCACAGTTTAGCGACAGAGTTGGTATTTGTGACAAGGAATAAAGGATCTATAAGAATCTGCAGCACACAATTCCATTTTAACGAAATAATTCTGGATGTTTAAATTGTTCTGTGCGCACACTGCAACTGGAGGAAGTACTAGAAATCCGCTGACAGGGAAATGCTTAAGTCAGAATCCTTCCCAAACTTTCCTAAGTGCGCAACCTTTTCTAAGTGTAACATGAACCCTAAGCAGAAAGCAAATAAGGAAATAAAACTAGATACAAGTGAACGCTTTTGTTTCACTGTGTAAGGCCAAGATTGACTGCAGTGAAGTAAGTAAAACCTGCCAAAGGTGTGAAGGTGAACTAGCCAAACAGCAATGCGATGTTGAAAATGAGATCACTCAATGATTAGGAAGAATAGAGTGAGCAATTCCCCACTTACCAAGCAACATCTTCAAGAGGAGGAGAAGGAAGATGATCTAGACAGTAACTAACCAATGAAACACTTAAAAAAAAAACAAAACACCTAGGTAAGATTGTATCTTAAAATTAAATATATATTATGGTAAGGAAAACAGAATCAATTTCTGTCTAAAAGGAGTTCTAGTCTATGGATGGACTCAACTGCCAAAGAACTTTGGTAAAAGGCTAGAAAGAACAGGAAATGTTTAGAGAAAGGAAATGAAGACAGAAAACTGAGCCTTAAAGAAAAAGAATTTAAAGAATGCATATATAGATAAAAAACAGTCACTGGACTGAAAATCTAGCTGTGTAAAATTTAGCTAGATACAATTAAAGTGATGAAACCAGAAATTCCTTTAGGTGTTTTGGAAAATATGAAAAGGATAAATAGGCAGGGTAGTCCAAACAAGGAGAAGGTATGAAAGTGCAAAATGATGCAATAGGTTTAAGAATGAGAAATGATGGCTGCTTGCATTAACCTGGCCTTGGAGGGGTCGTACCTTTGTCTTGAGAGCTATGGTGGAGCTGACACCAAGCACCTCCGTTTTACAGACTGGGAGCCCAGGGATCAGGGAAGGACAGGGCTCTGAAGCCACACAGTGAGGTAGCCCAAAGGAGCATGTGTAGAGGAGGATGAGGGACAGAGCTGTGGAGGGAAGAAGAGCTCAAGGTGACGCTCACACAGACGAGGAGAGAAAGGAGCTATGGGCAGTGTGAACGGTGGAGCCTGCGTCTCACTCCCTGGATGCTGGCTCTTCGGGAGTCCCTCTCAATTAAAGCTGTGATATTGAGGCTGTGACACTGTCACAGTGGCACCATAGCTGTTCAAGCAATGTTTAATTTTTCTTTATATTTTAAGACAAAAGGCATAGATAGCAAGGATAAAAAGTGAGCTCACCAAAACCAAACCAAATGAAAACCCACACAAAAAACAAAACCAACCCCTAACACCCCAGATAGCTGCGTTGCCAGGCAAATAGTACCCTGTTCACTTCCTGCCCAGTGGCAACGTGATACCCAACAGAAAAGCACTGTGTTTAAAGACAGGACAAGTCACAGTGTCCTCTTTCTCCCTCTCTTACACACGCACTCACTCACATACTTCTCCCTATTGAGTTCTTTTCTGGAAGCGGGAGGATCCCAGAAGCACTGCTCCCGAATGGCTGGGGGCAGTGCGCATCTAGATACTCTGGATCAGGTGAGGTCCGAGTGCTGGTGACGGGGTTGCTGTCACAGCCCCGAATCCCAGCCGCAGAGAACTAGCAAAAGCCAAGTAATTGCTTTTTCCCCTTCCACTAATAAGCTTTTCAGCAGAGGAAGAATTCAGCTTCCTGTAGTCAACAGACCCTTTTTTCCCTGCCTCTCCTCGCTCCAAATAATCTAAAGTGACTGCAATTTCAGTCCTGGCTCTCCAGCATTCAGTTCCACCGGCTGAGGTCAGGGGGTGTCAAGTGAGGGCTCTCCATTTCTTTTCTACTCTGCCTTCACGCCACCCATGCTCCTTTGTAACAGAGGCAACCTGCCCCCCCAGCCCAGCCATTATGTGCATCGCCGGCCGCAGCACACACTGACTTCACATTCCAGGAAATGTTTTTTAAGGCCCAGAAAACACAGGGTGGGGAGTAGGGGGATCTCTTTAAACAACGGTTTAGTAATGACCAACTTCAGATGCTCTGGTGACCCAAGCTGCTAATTTCACAGCTTTTAGAAAATGCATTGCAGTAGGACATTTGTTTTGTGGTGGTTAAACCATGTGGCTGGTTGTGTGGTTTTTGGTTTAGTTTGATGCAAATGACTTTGCTTCCTAAATTCTTGTCGTAAGATCTTGCTACCCATTCGTGGCACTGGTATCTTCAGGCCTGGTTCTGTGATGAATCACCTGCAAGTGAATAAGACCTGGAAAATTCTGCCTCACCCACCTCTCTGCCTCATTTCCCAGATGAATGAAATGCAATTTCAATTAAGAACGGCAGCAACGGTACTCCCCTTTTCTGTCTCCACTGAGATCTAAGCGGAGAGCGCACACAGAAATAAAGGTGAGCAAACAAAGGGCAATGCAACGAATGAGAGAAAGAACAGGTGTGTGAGGGGAATGAGGGAGGCCCCGGCAGGTCCCTGTCCCTCAGAGTGGAAGAAAAGAGGGCAGCGTGCAAACACAAGAGGACTTCTAGGAAAGCAGCTCCAAGTAGGGACACAGAGGCAGGACTGGAAAGATGGTGCTCATTCCTTCCTCCCGCTGCATCCAGTGCTTGTGAATGTCTGGAGGGAAGAAGGGAAGGAGAGAAGGAGAGAAGGGAAGACGTACCTGGGAAAGAATTGGAACCCCTCCCCCTGCTGCCCACGCCTACAGGAGGTGTAGGCTTACTCCTGGCTGTAGCCGGGCCTGTGATGGGAATTTATTTCCCTCAATTATGTGCTCTTGTCCCCAGTCTCAGTTCATCAGCACAGTGCAGCCAAGTCAATGAAAGGCTCCATAATGAAGTAATCACATGCACGGGGACGTCCGGCACCTGCCCGCTGGGCTGGCAGGGCTGTGGCCACGCCCCACCCTGAATCAAGCTGACACGGGCCCACCTCCTCCTCCCCCACCCCGTGTTCCACATCAGGTCACCCCTGCCCTGCCCTAGGAGCCTGAGCTCCAGCTGCCATTTTCTTTGACCCAATCACAAATGTCCTAATTGCAAAGAGAAGTGGGAAGGGACTAACAAAGTGGGACTGATCAGTGAAAAACGCTGACGACTTTCCTTTTCTCCTGACCGTGTGGTCCTTCTCCACAAAAAGCCTGATGGTGAAAACCAGTACGGTACATCCAGAAAGGCCTCCATTTACTTAAGTCATTAGTGAGTGTCTAACAAAAATAATGATATTATTACAATCATCGCTCAATCAAAGTAGAAGCTATCATTACTCCCATCTTACAAATGAGAAAATTGAGGCTCAGAGAGGTTAAATTACTAGTGAAAGTCACAAAGCTAGGAAACCAGAGAGCTGATGCCAAGACCCATATCCTTTTTGTTTTTGAGACAGGGTCTCTCCCTGTTTCCTGGGCTACAGTGCAGTGGTGTCGTCATAGCTCACTACAACCTCAAAACTCGTGGGCTCAAGCAATTCTCCTTCCAAGGCGCATTCTCTTAATGGCCACCTTTAAAATACCAGTGTGGCCTTTCTAGAAGAATACACACTTCTGCTTTGTGCTGTCTGTCCACCCCCCCACCCACTCATCACATGTTCACAGAGCACCTATTCTGGGCACTAACAATACAGCTGTGGACACAATAGGAAAACTCCTGGCTCTCATGGGCTGGGGCAGGGCGGGAAGGAAGGTGACAGAGTAAGACAGACAACAAGCAGCTAAGTGAGGGAACACACTGGAAGTCGGGTGCCGTGAGGAAAAATAATGCAGGGACTCCAAGGAGTAATTTCACACAGGCAGCTCAGGGACAGTGACATCTGAACCCAGAACTGAAGGAAGCGAGGGTGAGCCACAGAGGCTGGGCCAGGAGGCCTTCCTGGCAGAGAGGGCCAGCAAGTGCAAAGGCCTGGGAGGGAGAAGGACTGGCCTGCTAGAGGACAGCGAGTGGGGAGAGAAGGGGCAGGGCGGGAGATGCACTCGGACCAGTCTTAGGCAGAGTTCCTGCAGGCCTGCTGGCCACTGCAGGGCCAGAGGCACTGGGAATGCGTAAAGGACTTCGGTGGAACTTAGAACGAGGTGCTACTCTTCCACACCTCTTCCCTGGGCAGGTATGACCCTGGGACACACATTCTACTTGGTAAGCAGCGTCTGGGATGGACTGCAGTCCTTTCCTGTCCTCTTAGCTGAGAGCTGCTTGTATGGGGGACAACTGGCACCACTTTATGTGGTTTCCAGTAGAAAGGCTACTTACTGTATTTCTATAAATGCATTTATGCAATATATAAATGCAAAACCAACTCTCCTGAGCCTTCCCATTTACAGGGGCAGGAGGGGTGCGGGGAGGGGAGGCTGACCATAATTCAAAGAAATGCAAAGGCATTTGATCACTGACCATCCTTTGCATGTACACAGTCTTGACAACCATAAACCAAAAGCACCCGTCCACCACCGTGCTGCCCGCATCTCCCTGAGACGCTGGGTGGGCAGTGCCCCCACTGGCCACAGGACTCGAAGCTTGGAATGGCTGCCATGCAGACCCAGAAACTAGTTGCTATTTGACACATCCCTTCTGGTGGCACCATACTGCCCCCCGCCACACGTGAATTTCAATGGACTTTGTAAACTTAACAGCCATACAAAATTATGGGACAAGGTGGCCATTCACGTAGCTCAGTCTGTTAGAGCTTGATGCTGATAAAACTATGTGACCTTGGCACAGCTGTTTGACTGCTAGCTCTTCCTAGTGCAAGGTGAATTTGGAGTGGGGGAGGGGGCTTAATTTTTCTCAAATTGGCTGTCATGGGAATAAGTCGGCTCAACACACCATCACAGAAGAGGTGTCTCCCCCTAGTGACACACAGACTCCTCTGCCACCGGTGCCACCACTCTGCACTGTCTTGGGGCTGCAGCCCAGTGGCTAGGTTCAGCTAGACAGGCAGCACTACTTCCTCAAGCTGCACTTGGCCCCAATCCCAGGACCAGCTACTTCAGCAGACCCTGGGAGCTCCAAGACGGGCTAAGTGGCCAAGCCCTGGAGTGCTCTGGGTTTGGCTGCTGAACGTCAACGGGCGAGCTCAGAGCACCCGCAGGGCAGCTGGTCCACGTGCACTTTCTACAGCCAGGAGAGACGAGGAGCTGGAGCTCGGCCAGAATAGAGAATAGAGGAAAACAAAAGAGTGAAGAGGTGGCAAGTAAAGGGGACGGATCCAGCAGGGGCACCCGGAAAGGCAAGGCCTGAAGTCAGAGCAGGAAGCAGAAGGCAGGAGGGCCAGGGAGAGTGAGCGAAGGGCGGGAGGGCAGAGCCAGAGAGCAGGAGCGCGGCAGGAAGCAACCAGGGCCAAACCCATCACGCTTAAAGCGAAACGTCAGTGCGGCTTCCACGCTGATAGGAAGCCTGAGGAGGGCGGCTGGGGAGAGCGAGACGGCTCCCCACCCCAGCTCAGTCCATTCAAAAGTCACCGGGAGAACTATGCCTTGGGGAAGGGGCCAGAACAATTATTGGAGCCTGGACTTGGCTGCTGCCTTTTACAGTACACTTCCCAGAATAAACTGCCCCAAGACTTCATCCATCACCAAAAAAGGCAACTGCAGGAACACTCATGGCCAGCCCTTCCCTCACGCCAGCACCACGACCCCCCTCTGCCCATGGAGGGGCACAGAGGCTCGCAGGGGGGCAGCTCAGGCCTGGCGCTCGCCGCCGTGCGGGCGCTGTGTGGTGTGGGGGCTGTTCCCTGCGCAGAGCAGTTAGGAACTTCCCAAATCATTAACCTTTCTCGCGGTGCATTGTACTGGGAGGTGCTCCCTCTGCAGCCTATTCAGGAGCCCTATTGATCTGCCGCACACTCGGTGCCTTCAAAGTTGTTTATGATCAATATGCAAATTGCCCATGGCATTGATCTAGTATTAATTTTCAATTAGGGAATCCACAAGGGGTCTCTGAGGGTCAATATCTAACAATGCAAAGGAAACTCCGCTGTGGAGTATCGGGCCTGATGCTGATAAAAGCTTCCTAAGCCTCCTTCTCAATAGTTCCAGGCCCTCTGGGCTGTCACCTTCGCTTTGGCTCATTTGGTTCCCTCCTAAGTCAGACCCCTTCGGCCGCCTCTCAGGCTGCATCTGTGGCTGTTGCCCTGTAGCTCCCCCCACCCCCACCCCCAGTGCCACAGGAACACTCCCTGGCCTGCCAGGGCGCTCCCCTGACACCTGCCCTCTCGCTCAGGTACCCCCAGACATGCCTCCTCGTCTCCCCATGCCACGCCCAGGCCCAGGCCCACTCTCTCCCCCAGCTCCCCAACCACACATACCTTTTTCCTCCCTCTCTCCCTCTCCCTCGTTTCTGCTTAGTCACGGAACGTCACCTTGGCACGCTGCCACGGCTGGAGCTGGCGAGCTGCACGGTCCCCAGAAATCTCAGGCAGTCAGGCAGAGCCGCCGGGCTGCCAGGTTATGCTTGGCAAACAACCCACTGATGTCATTACAAAAACCAGGGGGGAAGGAAAAAGGCACAGCTTCGAATCATCTGTTTCTCCTTCTTTCTTTCTTCTAGCAAAATTTTTCTTCCTAATGAAACCGGGGGGTGGGGGGATGTTAATGACTTTACCACTCGCTCACGGTTCCCAGAAGCGGCCGCGGCCCGCCCTCCAGGAGCGCGGGGCAGTGCGTGTGAGCCACTGATGGGGAGCGTCCCTGGGGAGAGTGTGCCCAGCTGGGACTGGAGTGACCCAGGGACTCAGTCATTCCATTTATGCCCCTGACAGCCCCTGAGAGGCTCGCGTGGGAAAGCTACGCAGCCAGAGGAGTGGGAATAGAGAAGTGAGTCCCTTTCTCCTCCCAGCAGGTATAGGGGACAAGAGCAGGGCCCAGCTGCTGCCCAGCGTGGGGCCAGCAAGCTCAGTCTGCCTTCCCTCTCTGCCAGGGGCTCCTTTCTTCACTGTCAACATTTGGAATCAACCGTCCTACCTCAAGACCCAACCCCATGCCAGATGGGGCCCACAGTCCTGCCTGAAGGCCAACCCCATGCCCGGGCTGCTTTTGGCACTGCCGCTCACGGCACTAACCAGCGCGTTAGCTAGCCGGGCTAATTGGTTTATGGAAAACATTAATTACCATGTTGCTCATTAATGGATGAAATCTTTATTGGTGCCATTGATCAGCAGACTTGTTAGCTGGCCCCCTAACCAATGGCGGATGTAACAAGCTCTCTTATTGGCATATCAATTAATGCAATCAATTCCTGGCCAGCGGCTGCCACTTGCTTCCCTGGTAGTTCAGGGGTAGAAGACAGAGACATGTCAAGCATGCCTTTACTGAGAGTTTCCCAGCTCTCAGTGACTTCCAGGTGGTCTCTCTGCCACTCAGGGCTCATCTGTCAAAAATAAATAAAAAAAAAATCACACCTACCCTTCCATGTGAAAGTCTACTTTCCGTGCTCTCATGATGACAAAAGTGCTCCACTCTGTAAGGGTATGTGAGCTAGAGGGAAGGTGGGAGGGGTCTGGGGACAGTCAGCGCAGACAGAGGATAGCAGAAATCAGATGTTTCTAGGTTAGTCCCGATGGAAACGGTTATGCCTCCAGATAGGCCTCAGAACAATACTCTCCAGGGGTCCTCAAACTTTTAAAACCGGGGGTCAGTTCACTGTCCCTCAGACCACTGGAGGGCCGTTGGAGAGTGCGGCACACATTCCACACACGCGCACTGTGGGCCCGGGATGAGTCGGCTGCTAAGCAGGACAGGCAGCGGCGGCAAAAACACCCAGCGGGCCAGATAAATGTCCTCGACGGACCGCATGTGGCCCACGGGCCGTAGTTTGAGGACACCTGCTCTAGGTAATGACGGGACCAGCCTGAAACACAAGCCACAGCCACGAGCTCTGGGCCTGCCCTGGGGGAGCCCTCCTGGCTCCCTGCCTCCCTGAGCCACAGTCACACCTGCTGAACACGCCTGCCAACATCCACCCAGTGCCCCCGGCCACAGGCTCGTATGGAAACACCACCTGCCTGTCTGAAGTCCCAAGCTCTAGCATGGGAACAGATTTATCACATTAAGAACAACCCCTCCACTGTCACCACCAACTGCCCAGCGAATCTGTGCACACAAGTGGCACATACTAATGTTTGCTGAAATACACCTGAAAAATCAATTCAACAGCACTTATACTGCTGTAAAGTCACAGTTGAGAAAAAAATTTCTGTGGACAGCAACAAGTCTTTAGATAGGTTGTTTTATGTGCATGTGTGTGTCTGTGTGTACACATTTGGCAGGAACTTGACCAAGGTAGGTTGTTTTAGGAAAGACTTAGGGGAAGTGGGACAGGAGGTGGATTCATGACACAGATTTAGAGCTGGACTGACAGCCGGTGACCACCAGGACCCTAACACCAGGGCAAGGGCCAGGCTCTGCCACAGCCACAGCTTTGGGAGGGAACGTGGAGAAGGCCTACCCCTCAAGACATGCTTTAAAAGGATTAACTGGAGTTTATCCCAGACAGGAGCAGCTTGAAATATTATTCCAGATTTGTTTCTAAAAGATAAAATTTTTTTTCAAAAATGTAAAATAAAAAAAGGAAGAAAATCACTACCTCCACTCAGTGGTGCTAGTGCTATTAATACACTTTGCAAGCAGGAACACTTAAGGAGAGGGGGGACAAGCAACAAAAACTGGTGTGAAGCAGATGGGGTGGGGGGAGAAGGCACCCTTGGGCCAAGCGGTGACAGAGCACAGGAGCCTGACTGAGGCCTGGCTCTGGGACATAATTCTCAGCGTCTGAAAGCACGGCTCGGGACTTCTAGGATAAACAGCAGAAATACTTCCTCTCATTTATAAATAGAAAGTGACATTTTTTCCTCATGGAACATCCGCACTTCCATATTCACAGCACAGAGGAGAGGAGAGTCCTGAACAGATCACGGCAGGGACCAGACGGAAACGCCCAAGCCAGGTGTCACACTCTCAAGGTAAAGACTGACAGACACCAAAAAAAAGAGGGGCAAGAGTCCTCAAAGGGGAGGCCAGGACCTCCGCAACTCACAAAGCGACTCTTTACATGAAACAGAAGGTGGCACATTCTCTGCAGGGGTCACTTGATACAGGTGACAGGGAGATATCCTGACAAGGGCCCTTCATCAGCCACTCCACACCACAGTGATTTTTCCAGCAAGTGCAGTCTTGGGTTCTGCCGATGGCAAGAGTCCCGGTATTCTTCTGAAGTAGAATTCCTATGTTGTGGTCCCCAACCCTGGCTTGGGGGGCTGGGGTACGGTGACCAGTATACTGATCTGTGGCCTGTTAGGGACAGGGCTGCAGAGCTGCCCACCCCACCCACCCCATGGAAAAACTGTCTTCCATGAAACTTGGGGGGAGTGTGCACAACAGGAGGTGAAGCTCTCTTGCACTGTCCCCCTTCCATAAACGGGTCCCTGATGCCATAAAGGTTGGAGACCACTGCTGTAGGGCAATGGTGTCTGAACTGCTCTCTGGGGAAACCCAAAATACCGCAGGGATTGTGCAAATTCGGATTCCAATTTCATTTCAAAGGCTCTAATAATAAAGCATACCCAAATGGGTATCTGCCAAAATCTAACACCCTGGAGGCTAGGCGAACTAGTCGCATGGCCAAGTTAACTCGTTTTTGTGTGGGCCTTGGCATAATACTTCTGCCATTTCCACTTAATTGAAGACTCTTCTGAGATTACAAGGCAGGCTACTAAAAACCAATACTATTTGGAACTACTGTGGGAATGAGGATTTATACAATAATGGACTAAAACAAAATACATAAACAAAACAGAAACTTAGCTGATACCATTTAACTACTTGTTATAACTCTTACTTGTGATCAAAATGGTGATCAACTTGGCTTTGTTCTCATTTTTTGACTTAATAAGTAACCATTAACAAATCTGAACTCCTAAAATAACTGTAGTTATCAAGTCTTGTAAAACACTGTTTATACACTGGGTTCAAATTATATTTCATTTTTTTTTGAAAAGAGGGCTCCACTAATAAAACTTTACAAACCCCTGTTCTACCTGATGCATAGATTAAAAGTGGAGTGCACTCTTTGGAGAGCCTCCCTTGAGAAACAACAAAGATAACTTAAAGTTTCTAGTAAGAACTTAAAAAACCTCACAGCTCTAAGTTCACAAAACATTCTCATATACATTTAACCGGCTATGAATACTATAGTCGTGGGAAGGATAATGTGCCAAAATGGAGATAGCTGTGCAATGGTGGTTGCCTTGAAAGTATTTCTTTATGCTGTATTATTTTCTTTTCAATAAAAAATGAGGAAAGAGAATGATCTCTTGATGGCTTACCATGGAAGCAAAACGAAGTCCCAGAAAGGGCCGCCTGCTTTCTGTGCAATGCGGAAAATGCTCAGAGTAGCAGTTGTCCTTGCTTTGATAATCTAACCAGACAGAAAGCTCCCACGGTGGTTTTCTCCCCCAAAGACAAGACCTTAGAAGCTCTCTCTCCAGAACAGTTGTCTAATTTATTCACTAAGCCATTAGTTAAACACATCTGTGAGTTCCTGCCTACTAGGTTCCAGCCATTGCGAATCCAAGTGGACGACAAGGTCACATTCCTGCCCTCATGGAACTTACCCTCCAGTAGATCCACTTTGCATAACGTAAGATGGCTGCGTTACATCTAGTTTTGTCACTGAACCATCACATCGACGTGTGCTTGGACAAGAAAATCACCTCTTTGACTGTTGGCTCACCTGAGGGATGACCAGGCTGGCCTTGGGTGGTCTAACAGGGCTGCCATGAGGGGGTTCCAAGTTGGCCATGTTCAATACTATCCATGGCAGGGAACGTTAAAGAATCAAGCCCCACCCACCCTTAAAAGACTCCTCATTCCCGAGACTCTGATACACGCTTCCCTGAATCTTCCCCTGGCTGATTATGTATCAAGGTTCTTCCACACCAAACACAATAATAAATCAAATCTTATCAGAATTGAGCTATAAATCTGTGAAGACTCCAATAATTTCCAGCCAAGGGAATAACACCACAAAAGTACTTTTTAAACTAATTACTCAGATTCCGAAGTGCTGCCCTAATGAGCCTTCTTTCTGCCCAGAACTTACTAAGAGGAAAAACTACCTTCTGGTGCAGTAATTACTGCTTTCCCCTTCAAACTTCTAACTGGAGATCGATGCTGCATTTTAAGACCCATTGATTTACAATTAGCCTGGCTTTCCTGCTAAAGTGTTTTTTAAGCAGAGTTTACTTTTATTTTATTTTGAAATCTCCAAGATCTGGTTCTTGGATTTTACATTCTCATGAGAGGGGACTGGAAACCTCAAAGAGGAAGACACACATCAGAAGAGAGGGGAGTAGAAGGATGCAAATCAGACCAAGGAGAGTGGGGATAGGGGGAAAGGAAAGCTGGTGTGTTCACAGGATAAATTCAGAGGCAAAAAAAAAAGCCAAACTCACGCTGAAGAGGAGGGAATGAAGAAAATCCAAAGAGAAGCAGAAGGCAAGGCGGCAGTGGGACAGCGCTAGGTGCTCAGCCTAATAAAGTGTGGCTGCTGTCAAGGTGGCTCGAGCAGCTCTTTATTGCCTCTGCTGTTTATTAGCATCCTCGGGAAGGGGAAAAGAAAGAAAAGAAAAAGCTTTGTGCATCTTTGCAAAACAAAGCACTAGTTAAAAATAGTGTGTGCAGCGGGGACAGTGTGCTAACATGAGGGTCCTGGCAGCTCCGGCGTTTGCACAATCTGTCCCATGAGGAGAGCAGAAGTAAGCGAAGCAATTAAGAATTTCATGCTGATTGCTCCAAGCATGTTTTCTACGCCATAGAGATAATGGCATAAAGGATAAGGCCTTGCTTCTCTCCCTCCCCTCCCTGACAACTTCTGCCTTCTGGATTCTGGACTCTCTTTCGCTTTGCCTCCTGTGTCTGAGAACTCGAGATGCCGGTTAGCTGGGCTGGCACCACTTGATGGAATCTGTCACTTCCATGCCTAAAGAAACTTCAGTCGTGCAAGAGTCTCTCCCTGCCCTCGATCAAGAGCAAAGCCGGAAGAGGAGACATAAGCCAAGCTGCACTATTGAAGCCCTAAAAATGGAAGCCTCAGAAACTGGGCAAACTGCCTCAGAGACCTACAGATCCAGGCTCTCTCCAAGGCTCCCGCCCCTCCCATTCTGGGCTCTTCATTATTGCTGGGTCCCAAGAATGACTGACAGAAGATGGTCTTGGAGAGATGAAATCCAAACGGAAAAATTCTCAAACAATAAGGGGGGGGAGCGGACAAAAACTACTAACTTTTTGCCTTTTTTAAAATGTATTTTATAGCAAGATTGTATAGGCCAATTTCAAAGACTAATATGAAAAAAGTGCAATTAAATCCTTGAAAAACTGACAGATCAGCAAAACAAAACCACCCGGAGGAGAGCCCGATTGAGCCTCATTAAGAAAGAGTTCAGCCTGTTTTTAAAACCATTCTTAACACTTAGCTGGGTACCTCCCAGCAGTGAGCACTCCCAATGCAGCTGGCATAATTAGTGTCAGAATGGAAAGAGAGAGAGAGAAAAAAAAATATCAACCTAGGAGATAGAAATTAAAACACAAATTTGGGGTAGGGGGATGTCCAAATGGAAAAACCATTCCGAATTCAAACAACAAACTCAAATTAGCCCGTCTGAGGGCAATGGGCAGACAACAAAATACTCCACCATACAGAGATAAATATGTTCCAATTAAATAGGAAAAGGTCTAGGGCAGATTGAGAGGATTTATGCTGCAATTCCCCATCTTCAACCTCTCCCCATTCCCTCCCAAAATATATTCCACATTGTGGTCACATCAACTCCAGGAGGCCGGGTTAATGGCAGACGGATGGCAAATTGCACCAACTTCTCCATCAATTACAACCATCACGCCTGACAATGGGGAAAATGAGATCTGGTGACAAATTTCCACACCTTCAGCCATGAGGATCCCCCAAACAGTGTGGCGTGTGCACACTTATGAACCCGTGGGTGCCTGAGCACGCGAGTGCACGCGTTACATGCGAAGCCACCAGCCTGTACTAAGGAGATACGGAGCTGAGATCCATTATAGAAGAGCAGACCACTAAGGAAGAAATACTCTGGAGATGGAAAAGATGGCAGGGAGACGAAGCCATTTTATTAAATCAGGCAAATTCTAATTTATTCTACAGAGACAGAGGAAAGAAAATGGATTCATCCTCAGTATATCCTCTGAGCCAGCTCCTATCCCCTCAGTGGCGGAGGGGGTGCGGGGAGGTTCCAAGGTTCATCTGGAAATCAAGGGAAGGCTTCCCCTTTAAAAAGCAAACATTAACATATATCTGTTTCAATGCCTACACCAGGAATATGGAAAATAATGCTTACGCCGGAGAAACAAGGGAGATTTTCTCTGGCTTTCTGATTATTCCATCAGGTGAATGGTCTTACAAATTTGATTCATTGCGATGTGAAATCAGAAAGGCAACTGCAGCCTAGATAAAGTTGCTGAGACAAGGACTGACAAAAGGAATTGTGGAACATCTCCCCCAATGGCAAGAAATGCCACCTGCCACCTTCCCCACGGAGGGAACATAAATGTTGACTTTCAAGTTGGAAAAAAATGGAAGAGAAACGCTGCGCACGAGAACACCAAGCACAGAGGTTGCCTTTCATCAACAAAAGGCGCTTGTGTTTAGACTGCAATTAGAAAACCAAGGTTTTAATTAAACAATTACATAAAGTTAGTTTGGCTCCCTGTCTGGTCCAACACTTCACCAGCGCCTTGGGGTTAGCTTAGCAATGAGCATTTAGAGCTCTGGCTGCTATGGAGGAAAAGAAACTGATGACACAGCGACGTGTAAAGCTAGATGCTGTACCTGTCTGTCTGTAGTTCCCCTGTCATGTTCTAGGACAAAGGAGAATGAGACTGACATGAGCACATACGTGGTCAGACCACAAGCTATCGGTAACACTGTACTACTCGGGGCTGAACAGAAGAGATTATTCAAAGTGTCATGCAAAACGTGGGGGGCTGCGCGGGAGGCTTCCGGGGCTCCCCAGTGAAGGGCTGCTTCTCCGGCAAAGCACAGGCCAGGTGCAGCTCGCTTACTCTGCACCTCTTTTAACTGACAGGGATTCACAGGAGCTTAGATACCTTCAAACTCCCAAACCACCTCTGGAAGGGAAAAAAAAAGCAATCTACTTTTTCACCTGCTGCTTTTTACCACCTAGGTGGTGGCCGCCCAGGGCAGACAGAAGGTGTATGTGTGGATCCAAGAGCTTAGATTCCTAGGGGAGACTTAGATGTCTAATCTTCCTAAGCACGGGGAAAACTCCTGTGGCGCCCAGCCACCACTGCGCTCATATTCAAGAGCTGCAAACTGATGTGAAATTGGTTCTTCTCTATCCCTAGAAAGAAGGTGGCCACCTTCTGCTCAATTGTGTTGCACCAATGGGCCATCTTTACCCTCTATAAAATAGACTTCAATAAGTGAAGTGGGGCCTGGCTTACAAAACAGACAAGAAGACTGACCAGTTTTTACTCCACAGCTCTCATTAAAAGTACACAGACCCTCAAAAGGCAAGGCCATTGTGCCCCTGGGGCAGCCAGTAAGAAGGATTCCACACTGACACCTGCAGGTGATGCTTCAGATTGCACCTCCAGGGAGTGTTCCACAATTCCACGTTCCCCTGGCTTCCTAGCCTGCCTGGAATCCTTCCAACATGTCACATGATGAGGAGTCCAGGATGGCTGGCCAGCTGATACGCACCAATGGCCTCATACATACCTAGCACCAGGCATCTTCCTGGGCATTTCAGATCAAGTCACTGAAAGACAACCTTAGAAACAGAGCTCACTAGCTGTCAAGATGCTCTAGTCTGTACTAGACCCAAGGCTCATCAACTCACAGGGCAATCAACATGCTTTAGGTTTCACAGAGCACCAATCCCATTTGGGTTTTTTCAATAACAGGAAGACTCAGACTACTTAAATAATGGGAAAAAAATTTTTTTAAAACCAAAACAACTAAACCAAACTTAATCTGAAGTTTACAAAAGCAGAGGAGTTACTTTCCCCCAACTTCAGGCTACTTCCCTGCTAGGTTTGCAAAGAACTGGGAAATATAAGGATGACTCTGAAGATTGTATAACTAATTCATGCCATTGGTGCTGAAAAGCAAAGTTCCCTGCACATCCAAATCCTTCATCTCCCAGACAAAGGGAGGGTTTTCTTGCCGTTTGCATCACCTGATTGTGTGAACTGCCAGAGCAGGAAAGCAGCAGAGGGGACTACAGCTCTCTGGCCTGCAAAGCTGGGTAGCCAATTAGAACTAATCTCTGCCCTGGAAGTAAATTCAGCTCTCTGTTCCCTCATCTGGTGCCCAGGGGGGCTCCGGCGGCAAGGGGTGGGCCTGCTTCGCTCGGTGCTGCCCCCACCCCCCCTATTGTCCCATTCCCCCCAAAAGTAACAGGGAACTCGCTGGTCAACCCCTTTCACCACAATTAGCCATGGAAGAAATTATTTTAGATCAAGCCCCAAACTGAATCCAAAGCAACGAAGCTGACTTTATGACTTATTTATTTCTTCCTTCACGAACAGAAGGTTAATATAAGAGCAACTCCTTGGCAAACCTTGAAGGGTAATTCAAGCGACACTGATGTGAATCAATGTTCCCTTTGTGAACACATTACTTGGCAGAAACTGGCTTTTTGTAACCCCCTTAAACATAGCCAGCAAAACAAAAAGAGGGGGGAAAAATGTCCTCCAAACAAAAGGATGAGGTGAAAATAGAGAGAGAGAGTCGCCTGCACTTTATTCTCTTTCATAGAAGCAAATGGATCTGGTGCTTTTATACATTAATCAATCAATATCACTGACTGTACATCAGCGGGGTAGCCAAGTTATGAATGACCTTTCTGGCAAAGAGGACACTTTTAATGCTCATAAGACTGCTCATAGCTTAGCAACTTTCCGAATTTATGCCTGCATGATTACCCCTTGGAGGCGAGCAGCCGTGAGTGCTGCACTAAATATGGCAAGGTTAGTCATTTCCAATTTGCGCAGAGGGGAGAAGAGATGTGGACCTGGCTGCCCCACTTAGGCATGAGCTGCCGCAACCTGGGTGACACGGACGGCAGAGCCCCAGGCCCTGCTGGCCGGCCGCGGTGGGGCTGGCCTCCCTTCCGGAAAGCTGGCCGGGCCTCCTGTTCAGCTTCAGGCCAACCCAAACATGGCAGTTGCAGACGGCTCATCTAGAACCAGCTCCACTGCAGCTTCCGCCTGCTTCTCACACTCAGGTCTGAGTCACTGAGCTGGTGGATGGGCTGGGCCGGCTGCACGGGGGTGTCCCCAGGCTAAGCTCCCTTCACACCCTCTGCCCTCTGGCTCCTGTCTGGGCCTCGGAAAGCCCTTCCCACGTTGACTGGACTCCTCTGACCAGAAAACATCATTTCATGCTTCCAAAAGGAAATCAGAACTTTCATCGTCAAGTCGTTTTTCTTTTTTTTTTTTTAAAGCAATCCACAGACCTGGCATTTCTACCCAAAAAGACAAGGCTGACTTACTCTCTCCAGAAACATCCAGCCCAGATAAACAAAGAGCTGGGCCAATCCTCTTTATTTTCCCCCGTCACCAGCTCAGCCATTCTCTCCATGTCCAGGAGGCAGGAAAGTTCTCTGGATTCCATTCTCGGTGGGTGGAAATGGGGCAAAGGGCTGCCTGTGGGTGTGGATTTCTATGACAACCATTATCGTCACAGGGAGGCCACATGGGGGTAAGAAAGAAAACCCCACCTCAGCTTCCTTCTCCCAATTTCTTTTAGAGCCGTAGTGGAAATCTCTGGATGTCTGGAAGAGATTCCAGACTTGGAAACGCAGACGTCCGTTTGCAAGGCTCTGCTTTTTTCTGTCTCCCACAAAGGCGAATGAAGACATTAGAGAATTTGAAATACAGCTTTAACTTTGTGTAAATTACAACAGAAGGAACCATCGGCTAAAGCTCACTGTCCTCACTAGAATTCAGGAAAATTTCAGGGCAGGAATGAGTTTTACTGAGACCATTCCTCAGTCTGCATCTACAAAGAGAAGCCAGCTAAGCAACAACAGGCCAATATGCTGGGCAGACAAAATGCAGTTTGGTGGCAGCCACCTCTGGCTCATATTCCTGAAGTCAGGTGAGTTCCACGGGGAGGACCCCGGTGGTATTAATAAGAGAAGCTCCCAGGCCACAAGAGGCCAGTTTATAGAAATGCATGACAAACAACCAGGAGGGACAAAGCTCATTTTAAAGGACCTAATCTGGGCATTTCCGAAGGGGTGGCGAGTTCTCATCCCTGTGCCCCTCCACGTGCCGGGCGCCTGGGACTCCTCGCAGCTGGGAAGAACCTCGTCCTCCAGCAGCTGAAGCATTTCATCCCCCCAGTTCCAGCCCCGTCCTCCCGCTCCGCGTTCCATCCTTAAATAAACAACACTTGTCTTGTCACCCATTATTTTTACCAGATTCAGATTTCCATCTAGAAAACCTACTTTCTACTTGGAACGGGCAGCAGAACATGGAGCCCGTGGCCGCAGGTCCCCCTGGAGAAGCGGGTCTGGGCTGGTGCCGCAGACACCCCCTCCTGTTTCAGCAGGTGCGGTTTGGAATGGCTCCGTTTTCCCACACACAGCTGCAAATGCATATATTTCACAACCATCAACCACTGCCCCCTCCCCTCCTCTCCCTTTTCCTCTGAGCCTCCTTCGAAATTCATAAACTTTTAAGTCACCTTTGGAGCTGCCACCCTCACAAGACACATCACACCAAGGGCAGGATGTGGCTTAACTTTCAATCCCAGAAAAGTAGATCCCTTCCTTTCTGGATCCTTGTGAAAGCCTGGCTGTTCCTCTGACCTCTCTCGAAAATTCATCCCTTGCCTAACAACTAAAAATTATACATTTTTTTGTGTGTGGACTAAGTTGTCTTTACAGCCTCTTAGGGTTTCCCCAAGTTACAAACACCACTTGCCACCATCTTTCTTCCTCTTCCCCTACCTGGCCAACAGCAGGTCGTGTTAATGGTTTCTTCCTGCACCTTCCCTTTCCCATCCGGATGACCTGCTAACCTACCATCCAGCTGGCAGACACAATATATATGTCTACACTGTCCTCCTGGAAGTGCTTGGGGCCTCCTGTCCCCTGCAGCCACAGAGCTGTCCTGTTGCAGACTGTTGTATGGCATGCCCTCCTCCTGCGTATTTAAATCTCTCTCTATAGGATATTATTAGCAAGGACAACGGGGCATGAGACCCCTCCTCTAAGCATTTGGTGGGAACTCTCACATTAGTAACAGGGCAGGGAGAACCTAACCCCTCACACAGAGAGACAGTTCCCCCAAGCAGATAGGCCACCCTGTTTTGGGTGCAGCCCCCGAAGGACAAGCTCTACTTAGAGCTCAGGTT